GGATGATTCAGCTTGGCGGAGCAAGGCTGGTGCTATTTCATGTCTTTTCTTTCTTACGTATTTGAGTTTTTCGATATCTAACTTCAGTGCTTGCAGATTACTGGTGTGGCAAAAAATATTGGTGTCAGAGTACATTTCAATTTGTTTGTTTCTCACCAGATCAGGTAATTACATTGTCATGTATGTCGGTGATCTCCATTTGGTGTTTATGTCATTGTTTGCAGAATTTGTTTACTTGACATGACGTACTCTTCCAGATGTTCAAGTATGGTGTTGTTCGGGCACATGATCTTGTTCAGGACATTCTAGAATGGGAAAGGTTTTACCTTAGTGGTCGTTTGCAAAAGCCTGTAAATTTAATCTCTTATGAAGTTGATTGTCGTCTTGTTGGTTATCTGTGGTTTTTTTTTTAATTGATATCCCATCAGCTGGTTGTTGCGTAGCGCCAGATTTACTAGACATGGGATCTGATAATAAATTTACATATAACATTTAGAGACATTTTCATCTTGTAGGTGAATGTAGTGGTGGATAGTTTAGAGATAGAAAAACTCAACTCCGTAATCTGAAAGCGGTAACTTCTGTTGCTATCCTCATTATGCCGTCAAAATTCAATGAGGTATGATTATTTGTCTGTTTCACCGTCTTTGAAGTTGAAAAGAAAATATTCGTGTACTAATTAGATTTATTGTATCTGCAGGAAGAGCTGTATGCCAAAATATGTAGCCTCTCATATATGGGTGACTAGAGGGAGAGGCAGAGGGTGAGGGTAATACTTCATAATGCTATCTGAAATGTAGAATAATGCACTTACTTTGGTTTACATTCCATAGTTGAGAAAATTACATTGAACTATCGATCATTCAGTCGTACTGAATCTGAGTTGAATAACTACAAGATTATGTACACATGTTCTGGCTTTAAAATAGTTTCAGCTTTTTGTGAAATATGTCAAGCAAACATCTTATTCTAGAATTTGGATTCTCAGCCGCCACCTGATGTTCCTTTGATATTCGTTTTGGATTTTGCAGTGGTTTAAAGGTTTTGGTTTCATTAGAATAAAAGGTAAATGTTTGAATGAACTTATTTGTTGTCGCTTATTCAATTTGAACTTCGTGTTTGTACTATTATATTTTCCACGTTTGCGATTTCGATATATATTTCTGGCCAGGTGAGTTGGGTTTAGCATGTTAGAAAATTTGAGTCTGTTTGATGTTTCTGCCATTGTCATGACTGCGATAATTCCATTATTGATGGACCTAAAAGCTGATAATAGCCCTGGTTTTCTCTTATGAGTTGTCTGGTAACGTTCCGAACTCAGACACATCTGGTGAAAACCTTAAGAATTTTATATAATTTTTTTTATAATTCAATTCGTTAAAAATTTATGCTTATTTATCAACTCATTTTGTTAAACTCGGTTCAATAAAGATTTAAGCTGGAGTTGCAGCTAGGGCTACAAACGAGTCGAGTAGCTCACGTGTCGCTTGCGAGCGCTTCAGTCAATGCACGACTCGTGCTCGAGCAGTTGGTCTGAACGAATGGTTTATTGTCCATGGACATATAATGGTGGTCATTTGATCTGTAGAAAAATGACATCTTATTATCTGATGTAGGGCTTTCTTTCGATGTTGTAGTTGTTCAAAAAGCTGACCAGGGATGTAAGGCCATCTGTTCAAAAGGTTTGCCACTTCTTGATTTTTCAATAATATGTAGGGCATGTTAATAATCCGTATTTATTTGGTCCTCCCACTATCAATGTGTAGATAATGGCAAAGATGTGAATATGGAAGGAAATGTGGTGGGTGCTAGGGCTGGAGTTTCCCAGGTTGAATTGTGTAACAATCATCCGTTTAAACTCTTCTGTCGACTGTCGATGACTAAATT